TAGTAATAAAAAGACGACACTATAGCTACAAACCTCTCCGTAGATATACCCTTTTCCTTGTCGTTACGATTAAAGACAGGGCGTAGGGAAAGACCCTACGTATATATACGCCGCCGACGACCCTTTTACAATTCTTCTAATAGGATTACGCGTAGTACTATAATTCTATCTCCTCTCTTTCCCCCTTTACTCTTCTAGGCGAAGAAGGAATAAAAATACCGTACGACTTAGGAACGGGTTTAGGTAGATCGTCTTAGGAAAAGAGAAATCTTATATACTAGACATGCGAGGGAGAGCAAAGTTTTTATTAATTACTTTAAGAAAAATTAGAAGAATCGAATTTAACCGGACTAGAAAAGTAAGAAAGGGTTCTCCCCTTAGCGCGAAGGTACACTCAGAGTCTTTGTTTATAATAGATTTCGAGAGAGGAGGGTTGTTGTTAGGAGGTTGTGAGTGAAGGACGTTAGGGAGAGAAAGAATATTTTCTAGGGGGAAGAACAAGTGACGGAGGATGTTATTGATTTTTTTTTTTTGCAGTTTGGACGGTCAGACCTTCTAGAAGTTTAACGACGTACAAGGGGATAAAGTACTCGTTTATTAGCCGAGGACGTCGATCTACTAGTTCTCGTTCCTTGATTACACGTGAAAGTCGCCCTTACTGTTAAAGAGCTCCGAGGTAGAGAACCGAACGAACACGAACTGGGACGGAAGGCCTCGACAAAGGTACATTCCTCCTTCTTAGCCAAAAAAAGCGCAACGTCGGCGGACTTTGATGACGATAATAATCACAGATGATGATCGTCCAGACAGATCCCTGCAAGTGTCGCGTGGGTGGTCCAACCAAAATACTGATACAAAACAAACTTCTTCCATGCCTCCACCATGGAATCATATTTGAACTTTGCTGCCAACAGCCCAACAAGAAGGTCCCTCCACACTCCACCAAGACAGAGTGTGGCTGAGAGACAGAGAGAGAGAGAGAGAGAGAGAGAGAGAGAGAGAGAGAGAGAGAGAGAGAGAGGTGGCGGGGTTCGAAAAAAGTACCCGGTACCTACCAAGCCTGGACTGCCTGCCTTGTGTTTCTTCAGGTTCGCTTGGAGAAAGCAAGGAGGCAAGAAAGAAGAGGGCCCTTGGGGTTGTATTTCCCCTCTCTTCTGTCCGTCGTTTCTTCTCATCACAATTCGCTTGTTGTTGTTCGGTCGGCAGAACCCTGGGTGATGGGTGGGAATGTGAGCAGTCACTTTTTGTGATGATGTGCACCGCGAGACGAAGTTGGTGAAAAGTAACAAACAAACAAACCTTGTCCAGACCACGCGAGAGGTTGTTGCGGAGGCGATCCAACCACACCTGATGAGCACATGAGAGGCTCGAGCAATAGGAACGTGACACGACACGACACGAAACCCCACTCGACGTGGGCGGCACATGGCAAAACACTACTGCGCGTGCGTCGGCTAATATAATCCACCGTGAGACGCAGTCCACATCGCCACGGCGGCTTGCGCAGAAATCATGAAACGCCCTTGGTCGTCATGTCTGTCGTCTGTGTGTTGCCTATGCATGCAAGTCAGAGTGCTACGGCAGCGTTCAACGCGCAGCCACCCACTGTGCCCCCCAATCAAAGGAAAGTAAGCGAGCGCGAAGAAAACTGGACTCGAGAAGAATGCTGTGATTGACAAGTCAACTGCGCCTGTACGCGGAAAGCGCTGTTTTGGGTTGAAAGGGATGTGGTCTCTAACAATACATGCACAACCGCTGGTAGAAGTTTGAGAACGATCTGATCCATTTGCATCTCGCGTTGAGGGTATCATCTTCCTGCGGAAATGCCGTTTTTCTCGTTCGTAACTTCGTTCTCTGCTCGTCATCCGTCCTGGTTCGCATTGAGGAGCCCTGAGAACGGACATGACCTCGGGGACGAGGCCCTGTGGGCCAGGTACGAGCGACTTCCAATAATGGTAACTTGCAGCCCGAGATCCGGTGACGGAATCGCTTCCTCTCCGTTGTGATAGGACGTGTAGGAGGGTTTCGTTCAGTTGAATCGATTCAGCGAGAGGCCGGAGTGCCGGGTTGAACGTGTCAAGGGCATTGTGTGAATGGCTACACGACTTGGATTGCCTTCACAACAATCCGCGCTCAACTTTCCAGAGATCCAGTGCGAGACTTGGAGTCTCTTTGATGACAGCAAAAATATCCTGGGTGGTTGCCAGTTGAGGATGGCTCCTGAACAGCTGGAGTACGATGTCCCGCAGTCCTCTGTCCGAGTCCACGGTCGATGCATAGACATATTCGATAGCGTCTGCCAGCTCTGGTGCGTCGTAGTAGCAGGCCACTGACATCTCAAACTTTCTCTTCGCGAGCTGCTTGAGTGCTGGGATATCGTACTTCTCCGCCAGAGCATAGACCTGTGTGTGCAAGAGCAGGTGTGATTCGGACTCCGTCGACTCTTCCTCTTCCTCGTACTCTTCCTCGTCGCCCATGTGCTCGACGTCGAGCGGTGGTGTGCCTGCACGGATGGTCTGAGGAGGAGATCAAGGCATCTTGCCGGAGAAGTCAAGGCTCGAGCGAGCTTCGCCGTGCGAAGAGCCGGGTGGGGTCATGGGTTCTTGAGCGGCGTTGTAGACACCTGCTTGGGCAAGCAGAGGGTCTTCGATCTGAGTGAAGTCGATCTTCTTGGGCGCTTTCCTTCTCGCATCCGAGTAGGCGCGATGGCGAAACTGTGCGGATGGTTGCTGCTCTGGTTCATCGTTGAGGTAGTCGAGGTGGTAGAAGTCTGTCGAGGATTGTCAATATTCGTCCAATGCCAAAGCAAGGTTCGTCCAGCTATACTGACAGCGAATCATCTGCTCGACGGCTTCCTCGTCGTCGTCGCTCAGGTCGATGACGCCGGAGTTGGACTCGCGGAAGTCGTGGGAGCATGCGCCGTCGAAGAAGCCGCTGCGCGAGCAGACTATGGCGCGGTGGACGGCCCATTGGCGATAGTTGCATGTGACGGTGAGGTCTGAGTACTTGCCGCCGACGTGTAGCCTGTATCGTGTGTAAGCACCTCCCATGGCGACTGCAAGTTGAAGCTTTCGGGTACCAGCAGGACCGACACGTACGCAGAAAGTGCGCTCATCAGCTCATTTTGAGCGCTTGGTTCCTGAGGAGGGGTCTGGGAGAGGGCCATTGTGTGAGTGGTCGCGAGCGTTGGAGTTGCGCTGCGTCACGCTTCGGCCGGGCAGGGATTGGTGGAGAGCCGTAGTCCGACGCAAGTGATCCCTTCACACCGACGCAAGCTTCCACAGCCAAGCCGACCAAACCGGGAGTCGTCCTGCAGGATATCAAACAGACTGTAGGACACGGGAGTGTGTTGTTGATGTTGTGCAGTGCGGTGCGGTGCAGATGGAGGTGGTGTGTGCTAGAGCTGGAGCTCTCAGAGACGACCTGGAGGTGCGGACCTGCAGATATACTAGCACAGCTACTAGTAGTAAAATGCTACATCAGCGCAAGCGATCATCGGACAGCGAGTGACCTGATACCGTACCGTACCCGCCACAAGCCACTCACACTCGGTTCACGGCCTGGTCCTAAGCTTCCACTACTGCATCGCTTGGCGTACGCGCACTCTCTAGAGTCTAGAGGCCTCCGGCGGCACGCGCCCGTCTTCCTCCAACGCGGTAGGAGGATCCTGGGATGTATGCTTCTCCAGATCCGGGACCACCGACGACGCCTCCCTCAGCTGCACGTGGCTCAGGATAGCCGCGGAGAGGAGACTGCTGCTGCCCCTGCTCTGGCGCGACAGATCGCAGACCGAACGGCGAGAGGAGTCCAACACACAAGCAAGGCTTGACTCCAGATCGCTCTGCCCCGATCTCACCACGCCGCGAGGCGTCGTCGAGAATTCGCTATCGCGCTGGCGGACCCTGAGACGTCTGCTCCACCGGTGGGCTCCTAGCGCCGAAGGCGTGAGGCGCAAGTGCAATCCAGTCCAGACTTCCCGTCCCACTTCAGCTCAAGCTGGAGGACGAGGAACAGGGTGTGAGTCCGGTGATGGCGGAGCTGAGCAACAAAGAAAGTAGACTGTTGGACATCTCAGATTGGAGCATCCGTTAGTATTATTATAACACCGCCTTGTCACGAGCCATGGGTTGCTCGTCGGGGAACAAAAAAGCAGAGATGCTGAACCATGAGCGGGTACCGCACAGGTGCTTTCCCGAAAATGCGCAACAAAGACCAACGCAATAGTACACGGTCGAATTTGGCCCATCAATCCTTGGTGATTGTTCCACCAGGCCATGTACGACGAACATCAAGACCGTAGAGAACCTGGTAATCCCTTGTGTCGTCCATGTGGAAACGGAGACACCGCATAGGATGAGATTCCGCCGACGCCGTCAGACGCCGGCTACCATTATGCAGCGCATTCTCCTACATCACTGTGGCAGCTGTACTTCTCATCACAGCGCGAATGCACGACACGGCTCTGTCCCCTGCCGCATTCATTCGCCGACGAAGGATGACATGCCATGCGTGAATATTTGGCAATGCCTGCCAATGCCGAACATATCGGCTCAGCAAATCAAAGAAGTTTTCGGGATTCCGCTGGAGGTTGGCAACCGTCGGCCATACTGCATGGACCACCAAGCGTCACGTCTTACACATGTAGCACAGTAGTACGCTGTCGGCGGTGTAGTAATCGTCCGATTCTGTTTCCGATTTCGATTCTGTTTCCAAATCTCTCAACGAATGGGTGTACTGCTCCTCTTGCAATGTTGGCAGTCGCAAGTGTAGGCAGCGCTCGCTATAGAGACAAGACTCGCGATGATGACGGTCCTCGCAACGGACGAAGCGGGGTGGCACATGGGGTTCGCACTGCAGATCGCGGAGCGTTGCGTGTTACCGACCGCTGTGCCACAACCTGACCCATTTCCCCTCCCAACCACCAAGTCACTTGTGCTGCTGGTGTGGAAGTATTGGGCGGAAATTGCAGCGTGGCGAACGCCTAACTGTGTAAGGTCGTTTGAGAAAGTCGCCCAACGTCCAGCCCGAAGAACATTTGGTCGAGAGTCGTCAGCCGATTGTCCCATCCGTGCAGATGCAGCTGTGAAGGATTCTGTCATGCACAATGGCTACTAAAAGGAAACACTGAGTTTGAGCCGAGCGAAGTGAATGCTTGTTTACGGCTGCAAGCAAGAGATCGGTAGGCCCGAAGCTATGACGGTAACAAGCGTTAGCAAAACATCGCGGACCGGCGTATCCGTAGCATAGCATAGCATAGCATGGCATGGCATAGCATAGGAGTCGATTAGTTGAGAAGGAAATGCAAAACACGGTAGGGATGGTAGAGATGGGTGAGTAAGGTCACTGGCGGATTCCGTAGGTGCATAATGTCCCATGGTTGATTGGCGGCCAACACAGCCTCAAGCAGTTTCATGTGGCCCAGGGGTTTGAGCACCTCACGCAGTACTTAGCGCGATGGATGACATGGCCGAATAGACGTCGTATGAGCGCCCAAAAGATGCCTCTTGCCGCGCAGCAGGAAGAGCGAAGGACGTAGTGTCCTAGAGCTCTTCGGCGACCTTCTTCGAATGATGTCGGGAGATATCGCGGCGGTCTGTTGCGCTTGGCCAGAGAGGCTGGCCATTCTCTTGCGAGGTGAGGATGCGTTTCCCTGTCCCGTTCTAATAGTGTGTCTCATGACGCAGGTGACAGGTTGAGTGATTAGAGTCCCCAGTGCTTAACAGCAGTCGCACGTGAGGCCACGCTTCGGTCTGCGGCCTTGTTGTTCCTTCGGCGAGGAGGTTATCGATATTAGCATGGGCGTGCCTGTAGGAGATGCTATTCCTACACGGCTGCTTGTGCGCTCGTTCCTTGGACAGCCGAGCTCTGCGACGTGGACGTGCAGTTACGAACGCCCCAATGAGGTCGCTGTTGAAGGCCATTGTCCGCATGTGGTGAGTGCATGCCTGAGACGAAACTGTTGATGCATGCGATGGTGATGGACCTTGGCAGGAGGACTCTTCGGTCTCAGCTCCGCTCGCAGTGCGCGCACTAACCTTTCACGGCAATTTTCCGCACAGCCCTAGCGCCGAGCGCCGAGCACCGAGCACCGAGCACCGAGCACCAAGCAGCTCCAACCTCGTCATGGCCCGCAGACACAGAAACACCACCCCAACAGTTGCTTGGGCATCTCACCAACATTTGCCATCGGCACGGCTTTGATATCCCAAGCACAATCTGACCCGATACAGTACAGCTTCCTGGCCAATATCTTGCAGCACCCCGGCCGCGCCCCGCCACGCTGATCCGCCAGCTGTAGCACCATGGCCGGCGACTTCAAGCTGTCGGCCACGTTGCGCGGTCACGAAGAAGATGTAAGCATGTGATCATATGTTCGAGCTTTACCATATCTCTCGTGCTGCTGAATCTCCTACGTCGCAATCTCTATCGCCTTTCCTGTAGTAGCTAACGGAACGGTTCAAGGTTCGAGCAGTCGTCTTCCCCAACAGCCAAGTCTTGTTCTCCGCCTCACGAGACAACTCTGTAAGACAGTGGAACCTCATCTCCTCCAAGCCGCCCACCTACGACGATACTATTGCCCTTCAAGGCGGACACTGGTTCAATGCGTTGGCATACGGCGCACCTTCAAAAGAGCACCCAAACGGAGTCATTGCTGCGGGGGGTAAGGAAACGTTTGTCTTCGTCAAGCAAGTAGGACAGCCGCCCGATACAGATCCATACAGACTGCTCATCGGTCATGCCAACAACATTACGTGCTTGGCGTTCAGCCCAGATGGCAAGAAGGTCATAAGTGGAAGTTGGGATCAGCAAGTCTTTGTTTGGGATGTAGACTCGGGCAGCGTCACAGCGGAGCTCACCGGCCATGGCGCCAACGTTTGGGGGATCTTGGTCTACGATGAGAAGCTGGTATTGACCGCATGCGCCGACAAGATCATTCGCGTGTTTGATATCAACGGCAAGGCGCTTGGCGCATTGAAGGGCCATACCGATGTCGTGCGATGCTTTTGCAAGTTACCAGCCGGACATTGGTCCGGCGCAGCTGTTGCCTCAGCGGGAAACGACGAGGTGATCCGCCTCTGGACACTCGAAGGCCAGCAAATGGGAGAGCTACACGGCCACACCGCCTACATTTACAGCTTGGCAATTATACCGAACGGCGACATCGTCAGCTCCTCAGAAGATCGGACTGTGCGAGTGTGGAGAGATGGGAAATGCATACAAACAATCACACACCCAGCTATTAGCATTTGGACGGTGGCCGCCTGCCCAGAAACAGGCGACATTGTCAGCGGATCGAGTGATAACATCATTCGCATCTTCTCAAGAGATCCAGATCGACAAGCCGATGCAGAGGTGAGTCTGATAGCGATGCAGGAATAAGATGCGGGCTGACATGATGACAGACAATACAAAACTTCGAGGAGAGCAATCGCATGTACGCTATTCCCGCTGAGACGGCCAGCCAAGGAGAGCCATTTCAAAAGGAGAATCTGCCAGGACCTGGTACGTACCGTCTTTGAACTTTCATTGCAATGTGCTTTGCTCCGGCGTAAGCTGCGGCCGCCCATTCAGGAAGCTGCAGCGGCCACCAATGTCTTGTCCGAGGGGATTACACGTGGCCTCCTAACGGCTAACCGATGGTTTATTAGACGCACTGCAGTCGCGAATCGGCGAGAGAGATGGCGAGCAGCTCTTCATCCGTGAAAATGATGGCAGCGTGACAGCCCACCTGTGGTCCTCGTCGACAAGCCAGTGGAACCTGGTATGTTAAGCCCATCGTCTTGGCATTCATGTGACTGACGATCGACTCAGATCGGCACGGTAGTTTCTGGCGAAGGCAGCGGATCGGCAAAGAAGACCCATGATGGCAAGGAATACGACTACGTGTTCGACATCGACATCGAGGACGGGAAGCCTCCTCTCAAACTTCCGTATAACCTTTCCGAGAGCGCGTGGGACGCTGCCCGCAAATTTCTTGAGAGGAACGAACTCCCCATGTCGTACTATGAGCAAGTGGCAAACTGGATCACGGAGAACACGAGAGGCGCCAGTCTCGGACAATCGAGGCAACCACCACAACAAGCTAGAGATCCGTGGGGCTCCGACAACAGATATCGGCCAGGAGATGCCGGGTCCGCTTCGGTGTCAGGCCACCGCAAGCTGCCGCAGATAGGCTATCTAGACATTATCGAGGGCAATCCCGCTAACGCCATCAACATCATCTCGCAGAGGACGGAGGGCCTGAGCAAGTCAGGGGAAATTACAGCGGAGCAATCGCTGCAGCCGGACGAGGTTGCAGAACTCGGAGCTCTCTCCACACAGCTGCAGAACAAGCTGGACCCACATCCAACAGCACCTCAGATATCTGCTGTGCTCAAGGTTGCGACACAATGGCCAAGCAAGAGCAGAGTGCCTGCCGTAGGCGTCCTCGCGCTGCTTGCCGTGTCGCCTTCCTTCGTCGGTATCACGAGCGCTGGAGATACAACTATTGTGGACACGATTGGGGACGCCGGCTTGTTTGATCCTCGTCAGGAGACCGCCAATAATGTGGTGCACGGCATCCGACTCCTGGTGAATCTGTTCAAGAGCGAAGAAGGTCGTCTGATTGCCGACGGTTGCTTTGAGAAGGTCTTGCAGCTCGTCCGACCTTTCAACTCGGAACCTGAATCTCCTGCGCAAGCCAAGGCTCTGGCGACACTCTACCTCAACTATTCCGTGCTACTGACGAGCAATGCACCCTCTACTGAGGCTCGCATGAGGGAAGGCCGTGCCAAAGCCCTTCTAACGGATATTGCTATGCTGCTAGAATGCGAAAGCCCCCACGCTTCCGACAGCGACTCGCTGTACCGGACGCTCGCGGCTCTGGGTACACTCCTGTCACTGGGCGATGACTTCCGCAACTCTCTCAAGGGAGGCATCAGCGGCACGCTTCATTTCGTCTCCGCGAAGTCAAGCGCTCAACTCCCGGACAACAAGGAGCTCATTCAAGAGATTCGTGATGAGTTACGATGAGATGCAGCTGCACAGTGATGATCATGACTTCGACAAATGCTCAATGCAGCATTTGCTTTACATAGGGCGCGGGATAGAAAACGAGACTGGGCGGATGGTATGACAGCTCAGATAGATACCCTGCCAGGAAAGAAATAAACCAAGCAAGGACTTCTTGTGGTTGTGAGAAGGAAGACGGCGTCTTTTCGTTAGATGTCTCGTGTACGTTTGGGGGTATCATCACCACCACCTCATTCGTACTCCGGTTCCGCCCGTCTACTCCTCTTCAACAATTCATACGCCAACCCATTAATCTCCATGATCGCAACTTCCACCTCGGGCTTATCAAGCAAACTCCCATGCCAACCCAAGGTATCTGCCATGGCTTCGCGCATGTCCTTGTCAGTAGCCGGAGTAGAAGAATAGACCACGTGAATAGCTTCCGGGAATTCAGGCGAGTCCCAGTGGCGAGTACGTTGGATTTTGAATTTATCCAGGGCGAGAGTTTTGAGGCCTCCGATGGAGTACTTCGCTGCTGCCGAGTAGATGCGAGCGTGCAGGACGAGGTGGGGCTGTTTGGTTGCCAAGGGAGAGGGGGAAGGGGCAGCGGTTACCATCGTTCCTCTGGCAGTGGGGTTTCGTCTGCGAGGGTGTTGCTGCTGTGGGTTGTGGTGGTAGAAGTCCACGAAGTCTACTGTTGGACTTGTTGTCGGGAGAGCGTGTACGGTGAGGGAGGATTCTGTTCTCGGGCGGGGGATGCCTGGAAACGGGGGAGGGGCGTGGTGGTGTGCCGGGCCGCCGAAGGCGCTGATGGCGGAGGTGCCGTAGACGTGGCCGTATTGGCCTGGTTCGGTGCGGATGCTCATGGTGTCGCTGCTGGAACTACTATCGTGGTAGGAGGAACTTGCCGCCGTCGTAGTGGTAGTGGTGGAGTCTTCCGGCTGCGAGACGGTGGTGGGATCATAGTCGAGGAGGTACAGGTATTCGATCATGAGTCTGACGACCTCATCCTCTTCCGGCAGGGCGAGGTGGCCTTCGATTCCATCCTTGAGTACCACGTTAGACGTTGTTGAAAGGCCTGATGTAAGGTTTTGGGGGAGTTCATTCATACCCTCCATCGTCGCTCCTGGACGGCTCGCTGGAAGTAGTCTGATCTCGGACAGACTATTGCCCTGTGCACGGAGTGTCGAGTGCCATCACGGCCGGAGATGGTGAGGTCGGAGTAGTCGCGAGAGCGGTAGAGGGAAGCGAGTCCGGCGAAGAGCTCCAATCGCGGCCTTTCTCCCATGGTACAGTAGCCGTAGTAGACTCGCATATAGCCGCTCTGGGCCTTGTTCAGTCAAGTGAGATCCTGCTCTACTTCTCAGCGTCAGATGCTAGCATCCGTTCATTGGGCATATATCACGCCGAACAGCTGGTGATGATGTTGTTATCCACGGCTGTAGTACCACTGAGGCTGTGTATCTGGAGTAAAAGCTAAGGTGCCCGTGGAGGCGATACTGCTATTCTGGGCTGCTTCTGCTTGCTTGTCGATCCTTTCGCCATCTTCCCTCGCCAAGTCTTGTCATAGCGGCAGGCGTACGTCTGTCCTCTTGTCCTCCAGACGATACTTAGACGATAGTTTGTGAGAGGGGAGTCGAGATGTTGATCTTGATCCTTCCTCGGCTCCACTCTGGTATCGCGGATATGTATCGCGGATAAGTTAAGAATAGATGCCCGGGATCTGCAAGTGCGGGATCACAGGGATCTTGACGGAGCTCCGGATCTACATAAGTGACAAACACTTAGGATTTTAGGATTCCAGGATTCTAGGATTTCAGGATTTGCTAGGCCTCTTTCTAACTAAATCTTGATTAGGGCTCTATAAAACTTTATATACTATATATCAAAATTTACTTAAGAATAACCCTATCTTTTTTTCGTAGGCCTATTCTCGCTTTAAAAAGATAGATACTATTTTTAAGTAGTATACGGAGAGAAGAGGTCTATAAAGGGAAGAGGCCTATAGCGTAGAGAAGAGATCTACGGAGAGAGGCCTACGGAGAGAAGAGGCCTATAAGAAGAAGAGGCCTATAAAGAGAAGAGGCCTATAGTAAAGAGAAGAGATCTACGGAGAGAAGAGACCTACGAAGAGAAGAGGCCTCTAGTAAAGAGAAGAGAAGAGACGCCGAGAGCCGTACTATATATTACTACGAGCTATACTAGAATATACGCGGGATTTGAAGCGGAAATCTCAAATTACGAAATCCTAGAATCCTAGAATCCCGAAATCCTGAAGTTTTGTCACTTATATAGATCCGGAGCTCCTTAATCTTCCAACTCTGCGCCAAGCATGACGACGCTCCACAACCTCCCGTCATCACTCCTTCCTCCTCTCACACTAGTTTCATCTTTACATCGACCTGCCCTATCTCTTTTCCATTATCATCCCTTTTGTCCGCCTCATGCTGCTGCCCTGATGGCTGTGCACCGAGATGTTGCACGCCTTGCCCGTGGCAATCGAGCACACCACATCTTGTCATTGGTCGCCATGATATGAGCGACAGCCCACCTTATCCTGATCTGCCATAGGTGTATCTCCATCCGGAAGGTCAAGCTCCACAGCATCCTCAAGCCGTCGAGGGCTTGGTCTGCTCGTTTGCTGGATTGCCGCCTCGACATCCAGAAACTCGCCGAGCACCCGGAGCTCATCCAAGGACCCGAGGAGATCTACACCGGCTGGAGAATCTGCATCGAGAGAAGATAGATGATTCAAAGGAGTCTTCACACCTTTTCTCTCGCCTTCTCCACAGCCGCCAAAGCTCTCGCCTCGTCGCGACGGTGCTCTGCCGCAAAATCCCACCCCGAATCAAGGAGTTGTCTTTCCCAATTGCATAGCAGCAGCCTCGATTCCATGTCCATCTTGTGTTTCACCCAGAAAATCTTCAACAGGGTCAGTGGACAACCATAAGCCTCTTTCGTCGGAATTGGCAGTCCCTTCAGCTTATTTCGATTTTCAAAATTCCGCATCTTTGCCAATCTCGGGTCGGTCAACAAAGCGAGCACTCTCCACTCTCCATGCCCTGGTTTGCCCCGCTGGAGAGTTGCTGCTCGTTCACTCTTTCGATGAGGGCCGCTCCTCTTGATCGTCTGGTGCAACTCTAAAGCAGCTGTTTTCGCGCGATCCCAATTATGTTTATGCACGACATGGTCCTCTTCCTTCTGCACCTCCTTTGACTTCGCTCGCCTGTAGCTTTGGAGGATTCTGGAGCTCCCAGACTGCGGGTGCAGCCTTAGAGAAGCAGGTTGGCATCTATTCCATCTCTTCTTTTTGACTGGGAACAGATGGCGATACTGGGCTCGGATCCGTCCATTATTCTGCCTGAAGATGCAACATGGCTTGGTCTGGGGCTGGGAGTACGTCGAAGTCTCGATCTTCTCTTCTTTCGAACGCTGCACTGAATCTTTCCGGAAGCTTTCGACACTGGGAGTCGACAGCGCAAGTGCTGCCTCGGGCTGCTGCCTCGTGGACTGCTTCGCTACATCCGAACTTTGAGAGACGTAAGGATCGACCTCTTTCATCGCATGCACCGCTGCACGAAGCTCAGATTGTAGCATAGATGCACTCTCAAGGTTGTAGATATTATAGCGCACCATTGCGAGATAAGTGGTGTGAGATCAGACGGTCGGTCGATGGAATCATTAGGCGGCTTCTTATATTGAAGATGGCCTGGCCGTGCTCCCGTCCTCACCATTCCCTCGATTTACATTCGTCGAATGTTCCTCCCAAGAACCACAAGCTTGGTACGGCTGACGCACCGCCAACATGGCTAAATTCACAGAAATTCCGACCGTGTCCACTTTCTCACGAAGAAAAATACACAACAATTCGGGGAAGATTATCAAAGCAGACAAGATGAATCGACCTGCGCAAGACAGCCATAGCGATATTAGTGGGCTCACCATGGACAACCGCACACTAGACAAGCAGATTGAGGTGGTTGATACGACCATCGAGGCGAGATTTGCGCGAATACATCAAAATATCCAGCCTGCCCCCATCTTCGACATGAGATCGCGATCTCCGAGCACAAAGATTACTTATTCGAAACGCCCGACACAACACGTGCTAGGCACCTCGAAGACAAAGTCTGCGCCCGCGTCCGATACCAAGGTCCCAAATACTCTTGAAGCAGCCTCTATTGATGCTGAGCTGGTGAAATCTGTCCGGTCCATCGCGTCGATCGGCGCCCCTGTTCAAGAGCCAAACAGAACGAGCGCAGGTCTAAAAGCTACGATGTTGGACACTCTCGAACATCGCGACATCCTGCTTGGCACGCCACCCCGAGCAGTGCACCAAGGTGATCTTTCCTTCCGCCCAACTTGCAGGAATTTGAAGTGCAAGATCCACAAGCACAGTATTAAACCTACTGCGATTCTAAGGAGCGCCAGAGGTCGACTGGAGATCGAGCTCACAGCGATAATAGAAGCTGAGCGACGGAAGGAGACGCAAAGAGCATGGGAAGAAGAAAGACGGCGATTGGAAAGGCGGAAGGAGCGTGAAGAGAGACGACGATGGGATGCACAGCGTCTCTGGATGAGACTTGGAGAGCAGCTTGAGGGCATGAGCCTCTTTGAAGAGGAGGAACGAAAGGAGGCTGCTCACATGATTACGTTGGAACCTGGACTCGAGGTTCAGGAGGTTGAGGTGCAGCATCTCGAGGAGGTGGGAAGCGGATAGGGCAATAATTACGAGATGACTTCTCGCACTGCCCGTTTCCTGCAGTCCCAAGGAGGACGTGGAGGATTCGTTCTTGCAGCTGAAGATGAGTGAACGATGAGCTCGAGGATTTGTCAGGACTTTGGCATGTTTGATCTGCACGATACCCCATTGAGAATTTTGCTTGCATCGCATTTGATTAGATATGTTGGAGAATCAATATCATTTGTACCGTAACCACATCCCGAAAGCGATACCGCAACGATAATATTCTCACCCGCCTCGCATTAGCCCTGTATAGTTGGTCTGTGCTTGAGCTGTCAGCATGTGCCTCATACAAGATCTCTATAAACACCGTGAATTTCTCTCTCCCTCTGCTCCACCTCTGACCATTCGAAACCCTCCCAACCACCGACCACCATGGCCTCCGAACCGCCCTCCTTCATCTCCGCCACAACAGTCCTCTCCCTCCTCTCAACCGTCGCAATCCTCCTCACGGCCTACCTCGCATCCCTACACTTCCTCCCCAAAACCACCACCACTACCAAAATCCGCCTTCTCTTCATCTGGCACGCCTTCGATGCCCTAATACACTTCATCCTCGAGGGAAGCTATCTCTACAATTGCTTTTTCAGCTATAAGACGCGCACACTCGGAGGGGGAGGAGGAGGTCTATGGGGAGAAGACGAAGCCGCGGCGACTTTCGTCTCTCCCTACCTGCCTCCCGATGTATATTTCCTGGGACATAGCGATCGGGTGTATGGGAGTGAATACGGAACGAATCCCTTTGCGAAGTTGTGGATGGAATATGCCAAGGCGGATCGGAGGTGGGGTGGGAGGTGAGTTTACAGATTCTACCTAGTATTCTATGCCAGGGATTGCTGAGTCTTGACAACACACATATATAGCGATCTAACAATCATCTCCCTCGAACTCCTCACCGTCTTCATCGCGGGCCCCATGGCCCTTCATATCTGCAACCGTCTCCGCAAACAGCGCGAAGACGCCTGGTTCTGGATGGTAGTCCTCGCGACGGGAGAATTGTACGGCGGTTTCATGACGTTTGCGCCCGAATGGTTGAGCGGGAATGCGAATCTCGACGCGAGCAATTGGATGTATCTCTGGCTGTATCTCGTGTTCTTCAATGCTGGGTTGTGGGTGGTTATACCCGGATGGATTCTCTACGAAGCGTATGGGAGGATTGTCAGGGCGCTGCAGTTGAGGGAGCTGAGTAGTGAGGGGGAGAAGACGGAAAGGAAGAAGAAAAGGTAGTTCTCTTGTGATTGATCGGACGGTTTGCTCCCATGACTACATGTGCACTTCACCTCGCGTCTTGATGGGTATATCTAGGGGAGAGCTCGGATTCGCTTTTCGGGACAAGCTGTATTCTTGCCTGAGGCATCAAACCTCGGAAGCTATATCCGAACGAAATGTAGCAGCAACGGGTCTGTCCTCTTCCTACCCCGATACATGTGCAATACAATGGCAATGGGCCTAGCAACCTCCACTACCTCATCTCCCCAACCAGATCTGCCAAGCGAGCATGCAGCTGGGGAGGTCGCCATCCATGAAGCTTTGCAGCTGGTCTACTCTTCACTTCGGTATCGCAGCCTCATCCTCTTCATCGCAAAGAGGCAATCGGGACGCGAAAGACTTCACAGTTACACGCGCTCGGATCGATGAATATGCTTCGTACATGGGCACCTCCACATTCGTCGTGAAAGTCAGTGATTGCCTAGGCCATCATGGTTTTCTATCTGAACGATTGGTTTGGGAGATGAAAGCCGCGCACGACTGCAGGACTACCATGATCAGCCTCACTTGGGCGGCCAGTAGAAATACTCCTTCACTCGTGATTCCCTCCATCCATTCGGCCACTTGGTTATCCTTCGATATGTCCGGAGGCAGTACTCGCCCTCTCCATTCACCGATGTTGGCCCCGAAACCTGCCTCCGGTCCGCAGGTCCGCGCCTTGCTGAACTCTGCACGTATCCTCCATACAGCTGTGTCGTCTCCGCCAAATCTGCGCTGGGTCTTCTTGCAATCTCATCTTGCCTCGCGACTAGCGACCTTCTCGTCCCAGGAGATACATTTGATGAAGAACTCGACACCTGCATGTTGGAAGCGGTTGTGATCCCGATACGCTGCTGTGTGTCTGTGACGGAAGGCGATTTAAACCCTTTGAACTGCTTATCCATTGCTTCCGTCTGTTTGTTGATGCCTTTGTTGGCCTCGGCTTGCTCAAGACGTCGTTGCAGGCGCTCGTCCGATCGTGTCTTCTGAGGAGTCGACAGCCTGTTTGAAGGTACATCAGTGCGATCCTGTTTTACCATTTGTACGCATCGAAACCTCTTACATCACTGAGACTTGGGCGGACCACACCGCCTCGCAGTCCGTCAAGTACTAGACCGGAATCGATATGGAAGCAAATTTGACCAGTGGAAACAACTAGATCGATGTGCCGCTCGACTGTCCGCGACATCGCTATTGTGGAAGCCTGACGGTGTGGCCTGGTCCTACGTTTCTCTGCTGGAAGCACTCCGCCGTGTACGAGGTACATCTTTCGATACCTGTCGCGGCTCTGTGGTACTTCTTACTCTTTCTCAACACTGCAGACGCTACTCTTGATCCGAGCATACGCGACAATGCCGGCCTCGTAACGACAATGTATCTTCACGACTGGCACATCTGGCTTCACTACGGGCGCGACAAGTGAAACAGACAATGGCATTGTCTCATACCTGCCCTTTGTACTGAACATAGATCTGGCCAGCGCATCGATCTTCATCTGGGTAGATAACCAGGCGCTCGTGAATGTGTGCTGTGTGTTGTTCGTTTCAAGACGTAAATGCGTTCAACCGAGCTTCCCTTACATCAGATACTAAGAAAAGTAGTTGTGTACAAGACTCGCTTCAACAGGATATCAAGAACAACAAATCAATCCGTCAACTTTGAACCATCATGAAGCTTGCAAGGCTCGTTCTCGCCCTACTCGGCCTCCTCGCTTCGATCTCTACAACCGCAGAGCCCCATCCCGGTCATCAAGTCTCCAAGGGAGGAATATTGCAACCTCGAGACTTGGTCGCCAATCAGCACCACACCTTCAACGCCTACCACGAGATCAGCAAGTATGCTAAAGTAACCAAAATCTGGTCGGACAGTCTTCGACCGCTTCAAAAGCACTTCCTCTACGACACCATCCAAAAGCAAGCCTTTCAAAAAGCAAATTCCGACATTGCTTTCTCTCACCTCGCGCATGGAACGCTGATGCTAGACGCCTTTCTCTCGCTCACACAGCAATCCGCACTGCTGAGATCCAAATCCCAGGACGCTTTTCGTCATGTTATCGAAGGGGCACTCACTCCGGTTCAGCTTCGCCAGACCAAATGCTACTGTGAGGAGTTCAAATCCGGATGGTTCTACCCGCCGGAGGAAATGATCAATGCGTTTCTTGACCTCGGAAGAAATCAATCTTTCGCGTATCTTCAAAGCATCGATTCCGCAAAGGAATTCCTATCCGGGCTGCGACAGTTCGATGTCCTACTCCAAGAGGTTGAAGAGACAATCGCGCTTGAAGAACCACCTGCACCGACCACGCGATCTACCAAACGAGCCGTCAAGAAATTGCACAAGCAGCTACGCAAATCCCTTTCCATCGCGGCTTTTGATGATACGCAACTCCATCTTACAGCGCAGATTATACGTTCTCGACATTCGAATTTGACCGTTCTCGCGCGGATGAATACCTCGTTTGATCGAGCTCTCGCTTCGATTGATCTTGCCTGCGCGATGGCGAGGAATGATGGAAAGACTTCGCTGGCACATCTGACGCAGTATGGAAGGGCAAAGATTGGATTTTGTCCTGGGGAGGGGAGCTGGCAGGGGGAGTTGTAGATGGGAGACCGGCAGGTCGCAATGCCGGTTCTGATTTAGGATACGTCTCGAACGTGGTGCTCTTTCTGGGCATATTCGTTTGCAGGTGGGAGTATCGGATGCATGGAGGTTGTCACGACTGCCCATACGAAGGACACAAAGGTGCTGCGCCTTTCAGAGATTCATGGAGTGCAGGATTTGTCTAGGATGTCGAGCAGCCTTCGCCTGCAAAGGTTCGTGCTACTAGATAAAGAATCTGCCAGAGAATAATTGGAAAAATTCGTTCCAGTTCATCAATAAACACTTCATCAAAGCTTCGCGGTATGATATGTATCACCACCAGACTTCTCCTTTCCCTCAACGACCATCCTCAGCATCACAACGATCCGTGCATATCCATGTCCCTCAGCAAGTTTCAGCGGAGTATTCAGGCCTTCTGCACAGACCTGCTTATTCGGATCCGCTCCACGTTGGAGGAGCAACTGCACCGTTTCCTCATGACGCTTGTACACAGCCTCGTACAGCGCCGTCAATTCCACTTCGCCATCTTCATGCGTGGGACTGGGCGGTATGAGCTCGTCCACGTTCACACCAGCGTCAAGAAGCACCTTGACGATATCGTTTCGGCCTCGCTTCGCGGCGCTCTGGAGGAGACGTGTGCCATTGAAGAGTTCTACGCCTAGCCGATCGACCAGGACCTGGATACAGGCGGCCTTGAGGGGCGCGCCGTGCACGGCATGACGAATTGTTTCCTTGTCGATGCGGGCCCCGTGAATAAGGAACCAATTCAACTCTTCTGGACCGGTGTGAAGGGACCACTCCAGCAGGCGGTTGAAGGCCAGCGTTGACGTTCTCATGTCCCTCCAATCGTACTCATACAGGACATGGAGGAGCGCGGGACCCCTCGCGGCGTATTCCAGCGCTACGGAAGTGTTTCGGTCGGAAAGGGTGGCTCCCATTTGCAGACAGAATCTTAGGACTTCGGCATCGCTATGGAGTGCTGCAAAAGTGGCAATGGCTTGGAGAGGAATCGGCTGGCCGGATGCATCGCTCGCGAGCTGGGAGACAATGGTCTTCACGGCTTTCGCGTCGTCTTTGAGCGCGCTCGTGAAGAGTTTCTCGAGTTGGCTAACGCCTGTAGCGAGCTAGTTAGTAGAGCGTTTTTTTACGAAAGGCCAGCTTGGAAGACGGACTCTCTGGTCGTGAATGGGGCGAGTTCAGCGCTGCCTCTCTGATTGCATTGCCAACTGGATCGTTGATCATCAATTCCCAAGGCCGTCCTGCTTTCTCATCTGCAGGATGTCGAATACCGCAGAAGTGCGCCAGAACTTGGTGGAGGTATTCTTCCTCCGAGATGCGTCGGCTTCGTAGGGCTTGATAGGCTTCGTCGAAGCAGAGACTCATCTTCTCAGGCCCCGATTCTTTTGATTCGGGTTGGGAATGGCAGTAGTATGTTGAATCTTGAAAAACGGATTAGAGGGGACGAACGGCACACATTTTGGTTGCCCTTATAATGCGCGGTTCCAAAACCACGCATTCGCCCTTGTCGCGGCCTCTGAGTTCACGTATCTGCCATGCTCGACTCCGCAACGTTGTGGAAGCTTTGCCATGGGAGCCTCTCTGGGCAGACGCAGTGTGCTGTTTTGCGGCATTTATCAAAAGCCGCGTCAGACGCGTCTTTTACTTGAATTGGTAGCGGAGTCCCGTACGAAAGCTGTCACCGACGGTGGGCAAAGACATGTCCTGGCCACATTCGCCAGCCTGAGATGTCTGGTTGCCATGGCGGACGTGTGTCTATGACAAGATGATGGAGCGTAAGACGGGTATGTTCCTTCTTTGCGTGACGGTGACAAACCCCGGTTCCTGCACGGGAAGGCGGCAGGTGAATGGGGGGTTAGACTTTGTTTGGCGCTTGCTCTCTCTTTCACATCCCATCCCACATCTCACCAATCCGTGACCAAACACAATTCGACCGCAGACAATCCGAATGACCATCCATCCAATACTGTCATCCAATACTGTTGTTGACGGACATCGAGCACAGCAGCAGCAGATGCTCAGGTAAGCACGATGGACATATCTGGATCTGGCTAGCGCAACGGCGATTACCCTTATTCACGCCAAACCTCACTCGGCCGGCCATCACCTCAGCAAGAGCACGATCAATGTTGTCGCTGGCCTACAGGAACACGACGAGCAGTCAAATGCCGACCGAATCGTAGACGATAGCGGTCCCAACTCAGATTGCAGACGAGACTCGTGGCGGACCAACATCGAGAGGAATGGCCGACCTATCAACGCAGCGTATTACTTCCGAGTTACTCCTCGCGATCCATCAAGGTGCCCCAGATGTCCATCAAGGTTTTTTTCCCTACACACGTCGCCCTGCCTTGGCTCATTCGCCGTGGACGGTGGCGTAGAAGCATGCACCCGATCTCGTGGACTCCCGGGAATACCATAAAAAGCCCCAGCGTCCCCATCTCTGCTCGGCCTCCTGGCTAAACCTTACTCGCGCTTGTCGACCGTGGGATACGGCCGCGGACATCACCCACCATGTCTTCAATTCCGCAGACTGGCTCCGGCGCTGGCAGTCAACCGTACGGAGGGGAAGGAAGTGCCATCGACCCAAGCAACCCTGTCGTCAACTTGGCCACGATTGTCACAAACGGTGCTCAGAAGCAGGTCGTGTGCTATCTGCAAGCAGGCGAAAATGGCACCAACGACCGGATAGGCGTCCGCATCTCCGCCGTCTTCGTCGTCATGATCTTGTCCTTTGCTACCACGCTCTTCCCCGTCCTGGCCACGCGAGTCAAGAGCTTAAGGATTCCAATCTACGTCTACTTGTTTGCTCGATACTTTGGTGCCGGGGTCATCATCGCAACCGCCTTCATCCAGTGAGTCTCCTCAAGACGCCCCTCGCCGTTCGGGAGTTCAGCTGACACTTCATAGCCTGCTAGAACCTGCCTACGAGGAGATCGGACCCAATACATGTGTGGGAATGACAGCCGGCTGGAACCAGTATACCTGGGTACCAGCACTGGCACTCGCGTCGTCCATGAGCGTCTTCTTGATGGACTTTTACGCCGAGCGCTACGTCCAGAAGAAGTACGGCACGTCGCACGGCACACAAAGCGCGCCCGGTGGAGCCGTCGATGCGGCCCTGCTTCGCTACGATATCGGCAACGACCGCAGAATATCGACACACCAAGCGCTTCACTCTGCCGACCAGGACCCGCAGCTTCGCGCACAGCTGCAAGAAGCCTCAGCAGGGCACAATGGAAAGGCAATGGAAGACGGCAAGGGAGAGATGTACAGTCTCTCTGAGTCGGAGCAGGAATCCCTCGCGGAGAAGTCATTCCAGCAACAGATCGGTGCCTTCTTGATCCTGGAATTTGGTGTCCTGTTCCACAGTGTCATCATCGGGTTGACCCTGGGAAGCGCAGGAGACGAGTTCAACGTCCTCTATCCCGTCATCGTCTTCCACCAAGCCTTTGAGGGCCTCGGTATTGGCGCTCGTCTGTCTGCGATCGCTTTCCCGAAGCGCCTCCGTTGGATGCCGTACGCTCTCTGTGCAGGTTACGGACTCACGACACCCATCTCCATCGCCATCGGTATCGGTGTCGGCGAGACTTACAACGCCGGAAGCTTCACTGCCAACATCGTTTCCGGTGTCCTCGATTCCATATCCGCTGGGATCTTGCTGTACACTGGCTTCGTCGAACTCCTGGCGCGAGACTTCCTCTTCAACCCAGACCGAACGGACGACGATAAGCAGTTGGCTTTCATGCTCGGGAGCGTTTTCCTTGGTGCGGGAGTGATGGCTCTGCTTGGGAAATGGGCTTAGAGCACAGCAAATGTATACAGTTGCATACACTTGGGTAGTGTGTAGATAGATGCGGTCGTGATAATACTTACGACTGGCATGGACGATTACAGGGAAAGCTACTACCACCCCGGGATCACCCTTGTGCTCCTCCTTTCACTTTTTTCCAACTGTCTTGTGGAGTCTGTATTTGTATAGCCCGGTGAGCACTTCGACCATAGCACTGCTATCTTTCAGCTTGCTTTCATCTTGAGCCCTTTCTAGTTGAAAATCCTCTTGGTGCGTGAACTGTTCCGTACGGGAATCTTCCTGATTCCGACCTATCTCTAATCCGAGTCTATACAAACGTCATACATACACATTCACCATTCTGCAAGAACAACATCGCGAGAAATGCAATTTCTGAAAATTTTTCTTGTCGATCTGAGTGTGGGCGCGTGTATATCTATCTGCTCTGAGTAGAGCAAGCAGTAGCGCATATCTCAACGGAGAAGGATCCCTCCTGGAAGATCTCCACGTACATGTAGGTGAAGCCGCCGTTGTAGTCCAAAGAGGGGGATCAAAGTAGTCTGGACTCTGGAGGAGTGCCGTCTGATGCCCAGAGTTATGAACGGATCCTGCCGCACTGCCGCTAGCGTTGATTCGGGCCTAGGGCGGTGGCCTAA